CCCCCCCCCCCCCCCCACGAAAATCCATCGTCAAAACCCCCATATTAGCTGGCGTTCGCTTAATCATAAGGATTATTTCTGTTTACGCGTACAGCGCAATTGATCTGCAGTTTCCTAAAATGCGCTAAATGCATTAGAGAGGAACATAATTTGACTCAAAATGGTATATGCCGTTGCAGTTTCTTGCTTTATGGCGCAACTCATGGGTAGCTAGCTCTTTTTGGAGAAGATTCCGGACGCGGTGCCTTCGCCTAAATCCTTCCTTCCCTTGTGGAAAGAGTCCATAAAAATCGCATCTTTACTTCCCCAAATTTTGCTCCCACTTGGGAAGAATTACAAATATGTTTAAAAATCCAAGATGGGGTTCCATCCTTATGGGTTTTCCTTACTTGGGTAGGTGGCAGAATCAGAATCCGCCACCCCATGGAATTGCAGCTGCGAAAAGAATACCCTCAAAGAACAGAGAGGGATGTTTTATTTTCCACGTTTCTGTGGCGTTAGCGTTACAAACACAATTAATAACCCGCGTCGTACATAAATAAATAAAACAAAAGGTTGGAGGCTCCACTGGGCTAATTGCATTCAACACCCTGGCGTGCGTTACCCACTCGGAGAAGAATCGATCCAAATAGAAGTCAGTAGCCATCGCCGCCATGGAAATTTCTCCAGAAAAGGCGAAGAAACAGAGACCAAAACCGCATAATGGAATGGGGCTTGGGCTTGAAGATGTGAGAACGACGTTTAAAACGCGCAACAAACAGTGACATCATCCATTGCCCACGCCGACTTCCCATGATATGCCGATTCCTTGCGTGCTTTGAATTCCATTTGTTTATTCAGTAGATGTTATTAGTTACACGTTTTATCAATTTTCATACGGGAATTGAATGCGCAGATGAAGAAAATTAGAAATGTGGAAAAAATAATCAATTGAATTTATCATGTGGATAGACTTGTAAGAACAGTGGGTATAGGTGTTGAACCAACAAAGCGCGATAAATGGGTGGGTGGGTGGGGGTTATAATTTAATTTCTACCTTCTTCTATTTACACACAAACAAATCAAATCTATTAAACGAACAAATCCTAAGAAATTGTGTTTCTTCCCCTAAGATTCCTGGAAACTGGATGGATTTTGAATGGTTAATTTTGAGAAATTTCGATTTTGGGAATCGTCAATACACGAGGCTTCTTCAGAGGTAATGGGCTTTGGACCTCGTCGTCGCCGGCAGAGATGAAGAATCCCGGTGATAGTTCTGGCAAAGCCGGGAGGTTAAGGTCAAAGTCGCGCTGGCTGTGGCTTTTTGTGTGGGTGGACCCAACTCCTTCCGACGATGTCACAGTGGCGTTGTTGTTGTTGTTGGTGGTGGTGTTGTTGATTCCACCATCGTAGTGGCAACGCTTGTGGCCGCCCAAGGCCTGGCCAGTCGGAAAAGACTTGTGACAAATAGAGCACTCGTGGGATTTACCCCCACCGACGGAGGCGGTGGCGGTGGCGGAAGTAGTGGTAGTAGTAGTAGTAGAGGAAGTGGAGTGGTCTTCCCCTGTAGCTGATTTTCTATGGCTGGCTTTATGTCCACCCAACGCCTGATAAGACGAAAACGCCTTATTGCAAACAGAGCACTTGTAGCTAAGTTTAACAACCGATATGGGTTGAGCCGGAATGGGAACTTCATACTCAAGTCGGTGGTCAGGGTCGGCAGTAGGGGTTGCGCCACCGCGAGCCAGCATGATGAGACATAGCGCTAAATACTCTTCCTCGGTGGGAGGGTTATCAAATCCCCGTGGACGCTTGGTCCTCTTCCGCTTAGACCAAGACTCAATCGAATTGGGGCTAGGGTCATCATAGTGGAGAGCCGGTGATGGCGTGGTGGGAGAATTCAGAGCTTCAAGAGCCATTGATATGATGAAACAGGGAGCGTTGAAGAAGAAGATGGAATGTGAGGGATTCGGTGAAGGTATTTTGGTTTGGAGTGATAAGAGTGAGAGAAGCGTTTGATGGGTTTATATGGAAGGAAAGAGCCGATGAGTAAGGAAGTTGCGTGACAAGTGGTGAGAAAGTAAGAGAGATGCCCAAGTTATTACAAAAAAGACAACTTTTTTTGTTTTTTTTGTTTTTTTTTTTTTTTCTTCCCCCAAAAAATAAAGAATATAACTTGGAGGAGGTCACGTTTTGGTTTGAGCTTTTCGTGGTAGCGAAGGAGGGGAGGGAGGACCCAGCAGGGTCAAACACGAAACTAGAAGAGAGAAGAAAAAAGTGGAAGGCTGTTGTGTAAGTGACTGAGTGACTGAGTTTCCCAAACCACGCGGCTTCATTTGTAGCAGTGGGCAGCCGGCGCCTTTCTTAACTTCCATTACTTCTCGCACAAGCTAAATAACCCCACCTTGCCGCACAATTCAATGAATCTATCTATCTAATAATCCACGCCACAACCCCAGGCAGGCAAGGTCTGTGGGGGGTTATGTGGCCTTTCTATGGATATCAGTCTTTTACCAGTTCCCTTAAAATTTGGATGTAGGATGGGTTGACGGGGGACCCATATTGATGAATAAGAATAAAGGATTTAGAGGTGGTTTGTTTGTATAAGTGTCTCTCGCTGCTGTCACTGCCTACTCATCACTCCGTTCTTATCCCTAACAACTAATAAACATCGCTGCCTTTCTTTTGCTGCCCACAACCCTAATCATCCAATCCACAGCCCTTCTTTTGTTTGGTTTCACTGATAGTAAACAAGACCAAAAGTGCGAAACGAATCCTATCCCACCCCAGGACAATTTAGGAATTGGTCTTTTCAAACTCCTTTTTTTTTTTTTTTTTAATTTCTTTTGGAGTAAAAAAAATGGAATAAAATAAAAAGCCTCCACCCAACTCATCCCGCATTGGGTACTAAGGCGCCGCAGCCAATCAACCAACCGCATGCGTTTTTACTATGCGTTTGGTGTTTCTTTGCTTACATGCCCAATTAGCTCATCAATTCAAGCTTCGAAAATACAGAGAATTTTAGACGCAATTGGATTGAAGCTTCCCCGCCACCCTCTCTTTACACGGAACTAATCAATCCAACTGGCATCAACCGGGCGCCGCAGCCCCAGGTTCGTATCTTTCTTAGGCTTTGTGGGTTGGGCCACAATGCATGGTCCTTTTTTGGGCTTTGTCTATGTCGCGTGCGCTGGGCTTGTAATCAGCACTGCTACAAGGTAACCATCTTTTTATTATTATTTAATTCTTGCAGCTCTTGAAACACAGCAAGAGCCAATCGTTATTCAATCAAGATCTCAACATTTCTCCCACTTTATGGCTCCACATAATTGGACGCCCTCCCTAAACCCGCCACGTATCCCAACATAACCTTAACCCCAAAAAATAAATTCTTATTAATCTTCTAATTACGCAACAAACTAAATTCTTCACTGTTTTGTTGTTGTTTATTAAATAAAATACATTGAACGCGTCAGATTTAATCGCCGGAATCTTAGGGGAGCATCGAACCCTAAACTAAACATACCCCATTCCAGTTTATGGCTTTGTTCAGGTAATCTCATGTTCTGTAATAAATCTCCCAAATCTTACAGCTGGATTCCTTGTCTCTCCCCTCACTCACTCTAATAGCCATAGCCATAGCCATAGCCATAGCCATAGCCATAGCCATAGCCAGCCACGTGTTAATTAATTACTATATTACTATTTTACTTTATTAGAATGAGTAATATGATTTGGACTGTTACCATTGATATTAAAACCATACATCAGACGATGTGTTAGTAAAGACACTTAGCTCTCAAAGAGATAGATTGTAAACATCGTGCTAGCAAAGATGCTTAAGCCTCAAGAGGGTGGATTGTAAACAATAGGCGGTGTGCCAACGAAGACGCTTAAACCTCAATGAATGAATTCTATAAAGAATCCCCATGAATAGGATCAAACCTTATTCCATGGTATTTACATGAGATTCCTCTTTCTTATTCTTAAGCAAGTCCCCGAGAGGGCTTGGCTTAGTTGATCCATGATTTATGTTTCGTCTTTCGTTTCCTTTTCGTTTGTTTCGAGAAATATATCGA